CGACATCTGACGTTCTCAGTCTAAATCCCTCACGCTCACTTCCACTCTTCATTAAATTAAGTCCTTTTCTGATGCATACTGACCTTGTTACAACCTCTTTAATGTCTGTGATTTCCCGTCTGAACGAGACTTCGGTACAGGTTCCGACTTCTTGAGATAATCCCACATAAACAGCTTCTGACAAACGAGGGATTCTATCCATTTTGTTATAATGAAATATATAAATTTGACAACTATATTATATGGTGTTACTATTTCTCAGTTCGTCTTAGCTGGAATTCCTATCATCCAATAATTTCCATCTAAAGTGCACTTTAAAAATGGGAGGAAATCGCCTGTTACTGTAACGAAAAAAATGCTACTTATGTAATTGTATTAAATATAAAAAAATGTTTTAGATAAGAAAAAATAATATATCAGATGAATTCTGCAAAGTCACGCGAAAATATCCGAAATAAAGAGACTCTTCAGAGAGCTTTACACTATATTTAGCGCCAAAAGATATTTTAGTAAATACAAGTGTCTGAACAGTGCATACACTAGATTATCTTGTTTTGTAATGTCAATGTATGTAAGATGTTTAGATAAATCATTTATCAATAGTTTCCCGATATATAATATAAAAAAAAACTTTACAAAAACTTTAAAAAACCGGGGGGGGGGGGGGCAAAGCATCTAAATAATTAGTATTCTACCTATAATTTAAACCCAGTAAATTTTAAATTCCCTTCCTCAAACCTGCTGACATTAATTGCTTGGCACACATCTCACTGGGGAAGAATCACAGATTAACGTTAATTCGGCTTTTATTGAGTTCTAACTTTTTGACTTTTTTTTTAAAAAAGTAAATTCACAAATTACATAACTCGCAATTCATCTCAAATTGTATGCTCTTTCAGCTCACATGTTGAATAAGATGTTTTTGTGAAAAACCCGGCGGCAACAAAGTTCAAAAAAGCAAACAGACAAAAAGACAAACAGACAAACAGACAGGATAACAGCAATATTCACACTGAATCTATTGATCCGGAGGCATACAACACCCTCATGCAAAATTTATCTTTAAAAATCCCCAGATCAATATCTAGAACATAGTTACATTTCATTATTTATTCTGATATTATTGAAACCACGGTGATTGCGTTTAGAGTGTAACGCTTAAAATTGATGGAAAAAGCATTAAACACAAAATATTTATAATTTTAGTAATAATTGCCATTTTGTTTTTAGGACCTATAAAATTATTACCTCTATTTGAAAACAATCTTTACCACTCATGCATATAATCAGATTTGTCACGTTAGAAACATCACAAAAAAATAATCATGTATCACACAACTGACGTAATTAATTGTTACGTTGGCAACGTATGTTATACGATATAGCATAAATTCTTTATCCAATCAAATGACGTGTTAGAATTAAACTTAGATTGTTTATGTATCACATAGTTAAATGGAACGATGTAAAAAGTAAAGAAAACAAAAAGAGGTTAAATTCATAAACCCAGGAAATAAAACAAATCGTGAAGAGAGCAAACATGAACCCTCCAAAACTTCACAGGTAGGATCGGGGGGCAAGGACCAGTAAGCATCCCCTTTCGACCGGTCCTAGCTGTATATATGTGGCACATTTAAGGTGTGCGATGGAAATATCAGTGAATTTTTTTTCAGATTTAAAACCATTCCTTAAAAGCATTTGTGTTTTTTAGTTTACTAATATTGGACAAATGTAATATTGTTTAAATCTTCATGTTGAGATTGTTGTAAAGGAGAAACGTCAAGAGCACTGTGCAACAATATACTGTAAAATCACATATTTTGGAAGGGTCAAATTATCGTGGTTGGCGGAAAATATATTGGTTCATGGCGATTTTATTTCGTGGTTGAAGAATTATTCAGTAATAATATATGGAAAATAAAATGCATTTTGTGGTAGACATAAATTCGGAGGTTTCTTCATACCTTGATTTCCACAAATATTACACCCCCACGAACATTAGTGATTTCACAGTATTCAAGACGTGGCGTGGTGTAAATCACATGTGGATATATAGAAACTCCAAGGAACTCTTGGACAATTTAAAATCACAATATTTTACCAAATCAACATCTTATTTACGACTTTTCAACTTTATACACCACCATTCCCACGATAAATTAAAGTCCAGGCTTTTTTTTATATCATTGACAGCTGCTTGTGTCAATAAAGATGGAACTGGTAAATTTACTGACCTTTTCATTTGGTATTTGAAAAATTATTTTGTTAAAAACACATTCCGATTGCACACACAAGGACTCTGAAGTTGACATCAAAAAGATGCTTGAGTTCTTGATTGGCAATATCTACGTAGTTTTTGAAGACCAGGTCTTTAAACAATCTATTGGAATTCCCTTGGGTACCAATTGCGCCCCGTTAGAAGCAGACCTTTTTTGTATTCATTTGAAGCAGAATTTGTCCAAAATGTTCTACATGAAACAAAGAAAGCACTAGTACTTCATGTGGACTTCAGTTCGACATTTAGATACCGGTATATCGACGGCGTATTGTCAAATAAATAAACAATGGTAATTTCCATTCTTATGTCGATATGGTGAGCTTGAGATAAAGGATAACATAGAGTCTGTTTCATATTTATATATTCCACTTTTAACTTTCATTTGTATAACTTTTATTAACTTTAAAAGACGTTAAGGCCGGAATTAAAAATATCTTTTCCCCTTTTCCCTAACCCGACCCTAAATTCTCAAGTTGGATCTGTAGGTAGGTAAAGATTTTTATTTTCTGACAGCATCTTTCAAAATACATTCTTAAATTTAATGGAAAATTACATTTATAAATAAGAAAAGTACAAAGAAAGTGATTTGTGAACAAAATGCTATCATACATATGACGTTTAAAAGCAAAATTCATGATTAATTAATTCAAACTGTAATTAAGATGAACTTATGAAATATCTCACGCCAGAGTACATTTATAGAAATAGAATAAAAAGAGAAGATTCTCAAATACGCAAAGACTGGACATCCGAGTATATTTTTTCGAACCTACAATTAGCCTACAATGTACTTTTTTGAGGGCCATGAGATTTGCAGTGGTTCTAGAACATTTTGCCTTGGTGTTAAGACATAAGTGGCTAATACCAATGAGGAACGTTGAAAACTGTCCTTCAAAAGGGACCATAAAAACATATGTCCAGTGTCGCAGATTACGTTGGCTCAAAAAAAGACCCCCACTGCTTTATGGCAAAAAGTGTATAGTACGTCTAAATTTGGAGCAATGGGGGAAATCTTCAAATGTCGTCTCAACAAATCTCGAAGGGATTAAAAGCATAGAAACAACCAATCTTCAAGGGACTAATTAAAGAAAATTACACTGGATGTCTTGGGATGCTAAATTATGATTTCAAAACTAATTTGGAAAGAGTATTTAAACAATATTTAAATGAACCAAACCGAATCTACAAATAATAAAATGCTATATAAAACAATGTCATAGTCACAAAGTTTAACCCGTAAATAAAGGCATGAAAAAGTACAACTGAATAATATTTATTAGGATGAATCTGCAGACATATTTACAACAGTGCCTATGATTCCATAATGGCATATAGTAAATAGAGGAACATAGATGAAAGGTTTATTAGATCAAAACTCAAATTAAATAAAATGCAGTGAAATTGAATGTAATGTTCACTACATGGGCTCCTCATCTGCTCATGAGGCAGACCTTTCCAGGAATTACGTACCTGAAATTCAACAGATGTGTTTGTTCGTTTACCGTCCCTTTCGAAAATCTACTTGTATTTACTCACATGGAGAAACCAAGACACCTCCCAAACACTCTTAATTAGTCATGGTAAATTTTATTATCAAATTGTTTCAAGAGTAAAGAAGTCTAGTTAGCTAAAGGCATAAAATTGAGACGTTCAATGCAGTTGTTTTATGAGGAACTACTTCTCTATAATCACATCTGGGCGCTATTTTGTTTCCATCAAATGCTTGAAAATCACAGTAGAACAATGTTGGCCGTTCTGATAAAAACTGATTTTGATGAAATTGTATTTTATAGAACTTGGTTGACAATAAAAAAAAAATTGAATCATCTTATTTAAAAAAATCTTTTCAGTCGGTGCGATTTAATATTGGGTCGGTCGCGTTAGGGGAAACAAAGTTATTTTTTATTTTGGCCTAATGGTAATCTTACACCAAGCTTTATGATAAACGTGATGACTTTAACTTTGAAATCAATCGTCAACTTCCCTTTACAAATGTAGCAATATATATATATATATATATATATATATATATATATATATATATATATATATATATATATATATATATATATATATATATATATATATATATCTCCATCGCCTGCATACCGAGTTTATATATCTTAGTGAATTCGATACGTAAGAGCATGCTCTACGTATAAACAATTTTTCAAACGAGGTAAATTATTGACAAACAAATTGATGAAACAAGAATTTCAGCAATCTTCTATAAAGTCATTATTTTTTAAAAATTTATAATCGATACAATGACCTTGTCATCAAATACAATTTATCATTATTTAGGTCAAATGCTGTCTGACATTTTCATACCAATTGTTAGATCATTATCAACGGATTATCCCCTTATTTCCCGACAAAGAGCACACGGCGGATGTGATCAGCTGGAAGAGGATGCTCACTCCTCCTTGGCACCTGATGTTTTTGATGTTTCGGAGGTCCCTGTTTGCTCTGCTCTTATTTTGTATTGTTTTATGGACTTTTGATCTTGAATACTGTTCGTTATCTCCATATATTTCATCTAAACTGTGATACTGTATTACTGAAATCAAGACCTCTGCTTATCAATCTTTTTGTCATTTCTTCTCCAAGATAAAATACTCAATCTGTCCAGGATTTCACAACATATATCATGTGTGAAAATCTAGAAAAAAGACTGAAAGAGAGCAATTTATTTTATACTTTTATTCACTTGTTTGTTCAACAAAAATAGTCTTTGGTATATCAAAAGAACACTTTATAAAATAATTTCCTATGCATAACTTCTGTGAAAGTAATTCCTTTCAAGTACGAAAAATACGAGTACATGAACATATCTAATCTGTGCTTGATGTAGTATCATACAAAGTTTCTATATATGACACAGTAAAACTTGTAAAACTTTAATAAAATATACATATATTTTTCGTCATGATCATTGAAAAATATGTTTGCTAAAACATAAGTTTTTTTTATTCCCTGTGTGTAACATTCTTAACCCTTTAATCAGTATAACTCCCATTTTACCCCGCCCCAAATTATTTTTCTGACATATACATGATATACTTATAGAAGAAAACAAAGATCATTCCATTTGTCAGAATATGGAAAGTAAGTTTATTATATTTTTCCTCTTCCAAAATAAGTTAAAGGAGCCCTTCCCTTTTTTGGCTTGCTTGGGAATTTCTCTAAGGCTGTACAACATGTACTCCTCAACTCAAATTTTTCTGTCAGGTCAGAATAAGCCAATGCTTAGAATTAAAACAAACGTTATATATATTCATTTACATATAACAGTTTAGAGAACTTTCTTGCTCTTTCTAAATACTTCTTTGTTTAAATATATATATATACGTAATAATTTCATATGCAGTCAGAATTAGCTTGTTTCTATAAAACGAGACTTCGTGTAACATTTATCTGTATCATTCCATTTTCTTCTTCCCTGCTAGTTCCGCCATTTCTCGAGTCTCGTTGGTAAACTTAGCACAATACCGCTAAAATGATTGTGTACCTTTTCCTTTTGTACATGGTTTTGCAACGAAATCCAAAAATCTTGAGTTATGGCTGGATAAGGTTTTTTATACACGCTAAATTATCTAAGACTTAAGATTTTCTGTTTTTCACGATCGGATCACTAATCTCGAATTTCAGTTTAGTTTTCTCTGATCCGACCATGAGTTCCTCTTTCTCCGGGAGGTCATTTTTCTCTTCATCGTCTGTACTCCAGTCCGTTCTGTTTCTAGAAATCCATATAACAACCCCATAAAACAAAACTACTATACATTTAGCGATGATTTCCACAGAGTACTTTTTAAAGCGGAAGTCCTCTATGTCGTATAATGCGCATGCGCCCTTTCCATAACAACTCGAGCTCCAGAGATTGCAGCACGTGTCTATAATTTTACCAGTTATAACCGGTCCGATCATCCAGCCTTAAAATAAATGGTGAACAATTTAAAAATAAAACAAATTAAATATGCTTGTATTCCTTCTTAAAGAGTTTTCGATGAACCATCTCGTTTAATGAATAAAAATTCATGATAAATGAAGCGCACTGTTTTTTTCCTTTTACTTTTTATAACCTACGATATTTGTTGATTATTTATACTTCAACGTCCTCAAAGATTATCTAAATATGCCTTATTTTAGCCACACAACATTTCCTTTTTGCCGAATTAGTCACGAGGTACAGGTACATACCAAAAGTTGTCTGGAAGAGGGAGGATACGCCAACAGCCACCGATTTATCTTCGTCTGACACGCACCTGTATTCAGTGAAGAACAAAACTTTTATTCTCAAATTTTACAAAAAAGAAAAAAAAACAATGTCATATCTTTATTTTCGAGAGTGAAATTTAAAGACATATATTGGATATTTTCTTATTTTTTAAGCAGACTGACTACATTGTATCACACAAAAGAGGCTAGTAGGTAGATAAGCTAACCTGACACTGAACATAATACTGGGGACGATGCAGATGGAAACGATTAACGAGGACACGGTGTTGACGATCAGGAAAGGCCAGAACATCTCACAATCCGTCTTACACAGCCCGGGGGTGGCCGTCCCTCCCCCCTCGATACACGTGCAGTTGGAGTACGTCTAAAATGATAGTTGATAGAACATTCCCCATTGAAATATTTTTTTTCGATTTTCTTCCGAATAAAATGAGTTTCATAACGAAAAAAACTCAAACATTAATATTTTGCATAAAATTTAATATGATTTTGTGTTGAAATCTTTGTAGATTTTTTTTCTTGAAAAGACCTACAAAACCCTCTGGTCCTTGAATACTCTGTCCACATCCGGCATGACAGGGCGTCAGGTAATTCCTATTATCCGAACCGCAGACGGGAAGGTATTCCGCACTGTCACAGTTACAGGCGTCCAAGCAAGTGGAATTGCTCATTGAATTATCCAGCCTTCAACATAATAATTTCTGTATCAGTTAATCAAACAAAATATAACGTCTTGTAGAATGCGTCCCCGTTTCTAAGTATAGTTCTATGCTGTTATAATCATTTTTAATATGGATTTTTTTTTATTGAAATGCTTTTCCCACAACTTTTGCTGTAAAGTCAAACACTAGCTTTTTCCAGAAATCGATTTAAAAAAAATAAAGAAATGCCCAATTGATCCCCAACTACCCAGAAGATAATTTTGTTGCCACATGCACAAAAAAACATGCATGCATATAAAATTACAAAGTACCTGGTCAGGTATGTATACAGATCGCGTAATGGTGTATAATTGAATTAATTTGATAATGAGGTATACAAGTACCCAACGATGGTAGGGTTCTGACATCCCAGAACGAATCCAAGACCGTGGACGATGATGGAGAAGAGATTAATGGCGCCCACCAGCTTGATACATGTGTAGGGGTGGAGCTTCTTATAGGTGGTAAGGAGACCCCCCACTAACGTCCCACAACTCGTGGACACCAGGATCGTCACACCTGACAGAAAGGGGAGAAAACAGCTCAAGTAGCATTAAGGTCCACAAAATTTTAATTTTTGCGAGATTATACATATATAACAGGCTCATAGGAAACGGGAGACAACCCCAAATATATATATAGTCTGGAAATGTGTGCTGCTCTATAGACGAGCCACATGTACATGTATATGTGTGATGAGATATTTTGCTTCTCAAAAATTATATGGCTTTTCAAATAGTATCCATTCCCTCCTACGGGTCCGTATAATGTAAGATAAAAAAAAAATATGTGCATAAAAAAAAGAAAGACATTGGTGTAAAGTTTTCAACAGATGTTTAGAATGTGTACAAGAACGAGAAAAAAATTACATCTGAATCAACTTTTCTTATTATTTTAAATGTGAATATTTCTGTAAAAAAAAGTATTCTGGTACATACCTAGTAAAGCATTGGCGTAGTATGCTGGCACAAAAAACTGAGTCTCCAAGTATTTTGGTGTAAAGGCGATAAAGCCCCCGACTAAAAATAGAACCAGGCACGTGCCCAATAGATTCAGCGTAAACCGGGCGTTAGACAGAATCCGGATTATCTTCTGTATCAGGTCTGAATAATAAAAAAAATACAAAATATCAACATGATCACATGAAAAAATCAAACATATACATGTTGTTTTCTCGCTTTAACAACATCATTCTTTATTCTCGCAGTCACATTTTTTAAAAAACATATGATGATTTGGAAATAATAAATTTTAGTGTACGTTGTGCTATGGTAGCAAAGAGTTTCCTTCGGTAAAAAAGAATCTGGAAGAAACAAAACTAATGCTATGGTGACCATCAGTAATTCATGTAAAATCTGTAAGCTATATAAAACTACATTATACAATAATGGCGGAGAATAGAAATCTGTAATTCAAGTACATTATACCCTTGGTGCCTTCCTTAATTCCATTATTTGAAGATGACTCTGCCTCAGCTTTCTTTGATAACGCCCCCTTTTTCCTTCCCGGCATCCTCTTCGGGAAACACATTAAAGGAATGGACACGATAACAGCTAGCGCTCCGAATACGATGAAGCCAAGCCACCACGCCCCAATCCAGCGGGGGTCCCGGACGCTGATCCGAACCTCTACAAACCGACAGAGCGAACCATGATGGTTAGGATGAGTATCAAAACAACAAGAATGGAACTTATTACTATGATAGCTTAACTTTTCATTTTCAGCCAATTAATAGGAATATATATTTTTTTTTAGATATTTTTGTGTTTTCGTTATTGACCTTTGTTGTTTGTAGTATACTTGTATAAGTATTTATCAATCCGAAGAAACATAATGATCAATCGATGCGACTTATGAAAATTTCAGCATTATTCGTCTTAGTAAAAAAAAGATCAATTTGTAAATGTTAAACCGAATTTTAAACATTTAAAAAAAAATTATTTTACTCTTACCTTGCAGGGTGACATGCATTTGACTAAAAAGAGCCCCGAGGCCAAAGCCCAGCCCGGGTCCGAAGATTCCCACCGCCATGATAATACCTAAAACAGAGGAAACTCTTAATAAGCTCAGAAAACTGGTACTTGTTTCTGTCATAATTTTTTACCCATAGTGTGAGAAAGATGAATCTAACTCAATATTACATATACAGAGAGAGCAACCCCATCCAAAAAATTGCTGTAATTTACACTTTTTTTAAAGAGAATGTGTAGGGAATTTATCTACAGAACAACACATGACATGCATATCTTAATTTTATTTTCAAAAAAAAGTTTTTAAACTCTCATCGTCGACTGGAAAATCCATGAAGTGTTACATGTACCGGTATATATATATTGGACAAGGGGACTCCATTATAACTCGGAGTAAGAGTTTGTGGTATGATTTGTCGATGGAGATGTTGAATTATAATGCAGAAACAAGTGTCTGTACGACAGAACATAAAAACATACGAATTAATTTACAGATTGAAGACAACAAAACTTCCCAAATTAGTACAACGAACAAACAAGCGTGATTATAGTCACAAAAGGTGTGTGTAAATAGCTAAAAACAAAACCCAAATAATTCCACATGCCGCATGCACATGCCTATAATTTTTCAAAATTCGTACCCTTTCCTACTTGTAACCAGGCAATGTTTTAAGCTGAAAAAATTCAATTTATTTGTTTATAGTTTCTCTAAATACTACCTGGATATCAGAATAGTTCAGGACATCAGTACCCAATAAAGACGTTTGAACATCTTGTTCTAGATATCTTCTATAGACATACATTGTACTACAATTTTAGTGCAAAGTACTCTTCCGAGCCAATGATAACAGTCTCTTTCATCGTGGCTAAGAATTTAAAAAAAAAAAAAACCCTTGTAGAAAAAAAAAATTGAGCAAATAAAATCCACTTAGAGCCAGAAGTACTAGAATCTATTTATCTAAACATTTTCAAAATCATATCATGTAGCATTTTTATATAATGACCACGAATTAGTGATATAGAAAGTCTGGAAAATTTTGTCTTACACAAACCAGAGTAATAACAATCTCTTTACCTATGAAACAGGCGGTCTTCCGTTTGGGTACATTGTCGTCTATGTAAGTGATGATATAGGGCTGTCTTGGGGCCTTCCCGAACCCCTGCACTATCATCCCCACGGCAATAATAACAATAGCCACTGTAGTGAATTCTGTCGGCGCTCCAATCTTAACCATTTTGGGATCACAGCTTTCTGAGGGTGTGTTGTTCCTCTGAGAGCACAATTGATGGAGAAAACTTTGAAACAAAGCAGTCTTCTCGGAGGAGGAATTGGAAGAAGCAATAGTTTGTTCTTCCTGATTGTCAGGTGCCAGGAAGTAGGCCAGGGAACAGAAGATCCCCGATATCCCGAATAAAAAGGTGGAAATGAAAAGAGATCTAGGAATGTGGACTGTTCTAGCAAGGTGGGCGACGAAGATCGTCGTCAGAAGAAACCCGATGTCGTTACAGCTCATGAGGAAGCCGCTTTGTGTGCTGGTGAAGCCGAACTGCTTCTCCAGGGTGGTGATTTGAGAAGACATGTAGACAGAGATGGCTGAGGTACAGAGAGAGGCAGGGCTGTAGAGGGCTACAAAAACCCCGACCCTCGCGCAGCGCTGCAGGAAGGTGGGTCTGAAACAGCCCACCCCGCACTGCTCATCAGTATCTGTAGACATCGCAACGGCAACAAAGTACTGAAATAAATAGAAAGAGGTGATATTGATAAAAAAAAATTTTATAAGTTAGCATAACTATATACATATAATTTAATTTCAGTTGTAACGCGTCATTTGATTGGTTAAACGTTTTTTCCATTTCGTATAACATAACTTGCCTTCGTCACAATGAGTTACGTCAAAAACGTATCACTCCGCTTGACGTTACTTTTAAAATAATGCTCACTTTGAAGCCTTTTTCTGGAGGAAATATTGTCTCATTGTCTACCTTGAAATTAAATTATAAGAAATGAAGCTTATTTCAACTTATGTTATCTGATATAACAAAACTTGGGGCAGTTTACGCTTATTTATAAACCGCTTCGCGGTTTATAAAGCGTAAACTGCCCCAAGTTAAGTTATATCGGATAACATAAGTTGAAATAAGCTTCATTCCTTAAGTATTTCTGAAAATTAGTGTTTCAACGCCCTTTAAAGACACGCGGCTACAGTCTTCTATTCGATGAAAAAGGATCTCTTTCCTGAAGTTCACACGTACTATAATCTTAAGGAAGATCAAGGTGGGAAGAGGGTTGATTTTTTATGAGTCTTTAATTATCCGCTTAGGAGAGAAGACAAAAAAATATACATCAGAAGTTCATTCGATAAATGGAAGCTGTCTAAGCAGCAGAACTGCATGCAGCTCTCCAAATACATTAACATACTGTAAACCAATTTTTATTCGCGACGACTTTATTTCGCTATTTACCGAGATTAAACTTGTTCGCGACGATTAATTTTTTTGACAAAAGCGATCAAGCCTTTTTCTGTTGTTAATAGACAAAGACACTTTAAGGACTTGTTCGCGGCGATATGAAATATTCGCGATTACCACACTCTCGCGAACTTCGTGAAAATTTCTCGCACGCGAATAAAAGTTGGTTTACAGTAAATACATGTCTGTTGACAGATCAGTCATCCATTCCATTTTTTTTTTTATTGTCAGCCCAGCGAGCTACAGATCTGCAGCTTTAAGATATATGTATTTGAGAAAATATTTGAAAGATATACCGGTATTAGATCTCTGTAGTAGACACAAACGCCCTAACTATTCGATACTGCCGTGAATTTTGGCAAGAAAAGATATAAAGTATGCATATAGAGAACTCCAAGTATATTAAATGATATACTTTTATATCTTTAGAATTTTATAATGCCAATTATATGATATTTTAAAGGGTGATGTCACTCGGACATTATTGATTTAAGTATCCACTTTACTTTATAACAATTCCGCCATTTTTTTAAAAAAAAGGTGAGGGGGTGGGGGTCAGCATGTTATCTGTTAATTTTCTGTGAGAGAATTTTGTATCATTGAAATAATGTTGTAATATGGACACGGTTTATAACAATAGAATACGTTTATTGGTATTAAATGATGCAAAATAAAAAGGGGCGGATGATTCAAATCTTTACACTCATATTATGAGACTGTCAGTAGAAACTACAATATTCTTTCTGTCGGTAGTGGTAACAATAAATAAAATTTTCTGCGCTTGCGCGAGATTTTATCTAGTATCATGATAGTTTCAGAGAATTTCGAATGTCAAAATGGCGGATAAATTCAAAGTAAGGAAAGAAACATTAATAAGTTTATGATCAAAGTCTGTTTTGATTTTTTATAAAAATGTTAAATTGGCAACATTTAAAGTAAAACTGTACAAACAGAGGACAAGTCTTAGTTGTTTATGACTACACATTATATTAACTACATCAAACTTAATTTCACCGTGCAAACCTTATAAATATTTCATAATTCGATCACATTGGTCAGGTGAGCTATTTACTACAATTAAGTCATCCTTGATTTTGCACGAATCCACACGTTGTATGCCCACAAAACTCTGCAGAGCAAATGGGGGAGGGGAATGCCTGCCTGGAATTCGAAGCCTCTGGATTTCCAATGCTTTAGATTTCAATATTTAGGAAACTTATATGACAAGCAACCAACAAAATAGCGTTTTCGCGTCTTCAGTTATGTCTTCTTAAATTGTATTTCAAACCATTACGTTTTCTGATAAAATTAAGAAATTTTAAGACAAATTTAACCTAGTAGCTCCCCTTTCATCGACGGTAAAAATACCCCCGGCTCCCTCCCACCCACCCACTCCCCTACTTTCCTAGCCTGCTTTCGAAATGAACAGTTTGGTACTAAATTCATTTTTGAGCACGTCTGGGTTAAAAGTACATTTAATCTATGAGGTGTACTAGATTACGTACCACAAATGAAAATTAAATTGCATCGATTTACCTGTATATGGTAATATTAAGATATCCTCCTCATTGAAATGTATGCATTAACTTTTTCCGTAAAAAAAATCAGCTGTTCCGATATAAACAAAATCTGTTACGAAAAAGACCACGACTCACGTTTTCTCCACGCAGGTAATAAATCTAACCATTTAAACTCTCTTAAACTCAGATAAATTTAATAATGTTTGCAAACATTGAATGTCCTCACCTGTATTCACGTGACTCCTACCTGTGGACAGGTATTAAACAGCTGTTTAAAGGTAGTAATGAAATGTGAATGAACCTACAATAACCCATGGGTGTCTCAGCTTGTTATGAAATTAGTTGACAAAGGATGTTATTTTGATCTGTTTTTATGATTATGATACGTCTTTTTATCACTGTACCTAATTTCTAACCCCTGCGTATTTAGGCTGTTTATAAAACAGGAACGGGAAGGCTATAGACTGAACGGAGATACAAGTTACCAGGTCACTGTAACGCATGTCTTCACATAAAGATAAATGCACACCAGCTAACAGTGAGAAAAGCACTGTTTAAGCACATCACATATTGATAATAGTACTTATATTCTTCTCCACTTTGTTCGTTCGAATATAATAAATTAAGAGCTAAATAATCAACAAACACAAACACATGTGTCGTAGACAGGATTCTGCTCGCTAGCTTTTTATTTTCAATATACAAATATTCTCAAGATTCAGAAAAACATTATATACATGTTAATTCAAAGTTATCCACAGAAGATTCCATGTGTGTATCATCCATTTTCTCCACAAAATTTTCCTAATATACAGTGTTCCTTACTTGGCATTCCAAGAACCGAGCGAGCGTAGAATAGCGCACAACCATGAACATTTTATAAAATGAAAACATATGGAGATAACGAACAATATTCAAGACCAAAAGTCCATAAAACAATACAAAATAGGAGTAGAGCAAACACGGACCCCCGAAACATCAGGTGGGATCAGGTGCCATGGGGAAGTGAGTATCTCCTGTCGACGGGTCACACCCTACGCGTGCTCCTTATCATGATCGGGAAATAACGGAAAAATCCGTCGATCGTCCATCATGTCCATTCAGTGTATAGATAACGGACTAACAATTAGTATGAAAAACGTCAGTCAGCATTTAAGATAGGACACAATAAATTCAATTTTTCTGAAACTTTGATATTTTGTTCTAAGACACTTAATCTCTCTTAATATATAATATGAAAGAAATTCATCCGCACAGATTTTGCCCACATTGTCTGAAATATGGCCTATCAGACCCCTGTAAGAAGATTGTGAAATCAGAAACTCGACTTGAGAATGAGCCTTATTTTAGAATTATCAGTTGATCTATTGCAAGTTTGTGTTATAATTTTGATAAAGATAACCTTTTTGTTACTTTAACTTAGTAAGTCATATTGATACTGGACCATTTGAGAAAAATTTTAAGTAAAAATAGAACATACATAGCGTCGAAATTGAAAATTCACATGTAAATATCCTACATTAAAGTTTTCTAAAGAAAAAATGTATGACTCAATTTTTGCAAAAAATTAACAGAATGATTAAAATGGGTCCCAGAATAAAATGTATAAAAACTAGAGGTACTGTGAGCAATGAGCTCACTAAATGATACCCCCCGCCTCCCATAATGTCCATGTGTTGCTATATATTGTTTTACGGTAATGTGTAAAGAGGAATAACTCGTCCTATCAAATGTTATCCAGAAGCTTCTATATGTGACGTCATAGGTAAACATATAATGGCAATGTCCATGTTTTGCTATAGGAAACCTAAAATATGTATCAAATAAAAAAGTAAAATAGGAGGTGCACAATGGCAATATGTAATAAAGATTCTGTGAAAGTTTCATTAAATTTCACTCAGTAGTATAAGAGGAGTTGCGGATAAGAGAAAAAGCGTAACAGACGGACGGACGGACAGACGGACGGAAATACCGATTACTATATACTCCCCCTACTTTTCAAGCGGGGGTATAATAAAGAAAATTGAATCGGTAGTTTCTGATATTTTGGCGATTGAAAAAATTTAAAAGGCAAAAAAATAAAAGATTCAGTGGATGACGTCGCAATATTTGACCTTTGACTTTTGATATGACCTTGACCTTTATAGTAAACAAAGAACAGAGACTCCTTATATGTGTGTCCAAATATCAGCCCTCTACTACACTGCATTTTATATCAGACTGTTACATGCTTGTTTATTGCACTTAGATAGCGTAAACACATTCCAAAATGTAAACTCCCAAGTGACCAACATATAGGATTCTCTGATTTTTTCACAAAATATGACGCAATCATGCCAAAACTTGTTATATTTCTTACAGGGGTCATTCATTGTTGTCAATGTAGTAATATTATTCTTTTTTTCTCCAGTATTTTTTAAGAAATTAGTAAAAATAGAATCCAGGGGTGTTTTGTACTACCTTAACCCAATGATAAATCGTATTTGCTGACAAGGTCATTGTATCGACCATAGAACTTACGAAATGATGACTTTAAACGAAACTGCTGACATTTTTGTTTCATCAACTTGCTTGTAAACAATTTATATCGCTTTAGAAATTGCTCATATGTAGAGCATGCTCTTGCGTATCGAATCAACTGAGATATATACACACCGTATGCAGGTGATGAGGGTATATTGCTGCATAAGTAAGCGAAGTTGATGATAGAAAACTTAAAGTTTAAAGTCATCAAGAAGTAAAATAAAGTGGAGTCCTATATATATACAAAAACTATGTAAAACATTGATTGTGAAGTAATAAATATGGAATAAAAAGGATCTCCCATGTACGAAAGCCCAGAAGGCTCATTCGAGATTCAAGTTTCAAAATACGAGATTCAAAATTCGAGATTCGAAATTCGAGTTTCGAGATTCAAGATCCAGATTAACCAATCAAAAGGCTCATTCGAGATTCGAGGTTCGAAATACGAGGTTTGAAATTCGAGTTTCGAGATTCAAAATCCGGATTAAGGGGGATGTACAAGCCATATTGGCTCTAGTTGGTGTAAAATAAGAAATACCAAGAATGCGCTTAATACTCTACTAAACTAGCCCAAAGTTACTCAAAGTGCCAATGCACTAATTACCTACTGTTAGAGACCAAAATCAGTTAATGATTAAGCTTATTTTGTTTTAATTAGGAGGAAATTAATCATGTTAGAACTGCGCAGCTACAGCATTCACGAGATGAAAAATGCATTGAATATAGTGTTAGTTTGATTCATTGATAATATGGCTACAACCATTTGTTTCGCTTTTTTCTTGTCATTATCCATAATTCTTGAAAATTTGATTTTCCATATGGGTGTCTTCCTGAGGCCATGTGTTTATTTCGTCCGCCATTCCTCTGTCACACAGAGTACGAATAACATTGGTTTTAGAATAAATGCGACCATAATAACATCAAGACAAGAAATTACTAAGTAATTATCATTAGGTTATATTACTTACTACTTTTATTTGTTGCATTGCATCGTCTGATTACTGAAAAAAGCTATTTTAACCCCACTTCAGCAAATCGGGAAAAACTGTTCTGTTTACAGCTCGAGTTTCCTCGATAATATCATTCCACTGAGCACGTGGTTGGAATGTGCATATATCTGCTGTGGATAAATGCGTTTATTACAATGATTATATTTAATTTTTCATGGAACAAGTCTTGATGATTTGTTGGTTTCTTTAAAACTCAAGAAAAAAGATAAAACATGTCCTAAACATATGTGATTACGGTGGGTCTTTTTTCTGTGGCGATAGAAGTTATTTTCAAATGGGGCACTGCAAGGAGGATGCTTAGCATTTAATTTGAAAATGTTAAACAATATGCGGTGCATGAAAAACAAATTGTAATTACATGTCTTACATTCGAAAAGTTGGTACATGTGTCTATTTTGTTTAGCAGTTAGATAGAAAAAATAGGCAGTTATAGGATTTCCTTCAGGCACCTCACATAAATAGCTAGATTGTTTGCAATGAACCACACATTGTATGGAGTAATGTTTGGACATAAAAACGTATCATGTCTCATTATGTTGACAACATTGTAAGCTCTCGCTCAATGAACATACGAAGCTTGATAAAATATATTGAGCTGTTTCTTTGAAATTTAGAAAAAATCCTATGTTTGTTTTTCAAAATAGTGCCAAAGATTCAAAAATTTGCATTACTAAGTATATGATGGAACATGTAATATCCTTATAAGACAATTTGCTATAAAAATATTTGGTTGCCCTCTCTCCCGATCTACTGCCTAGAAATGACCCGACTCAATTTTTTTGCCATCCCATTACATGTTTTTTTTTCTTCCGTCAACGAATATGTTTCTCACCTATAAATACGGACCCAATAATTTTTCCCTGAGTTGGGAGGACCACCGAACGTCATTTTAAAGATGGTATAAAATATTTATTAATGTTGATTTTTTTTTCTTTACTCTGTAAAATTGTAATTTTGACAAAAAGGGCAAATAGAAAAAGTTTTTTTATTCATTAAATCTCCTAACCCACTCTGAATGATTTCATTCCTTTTAAAATGTTGCTCCGCTAAAATCAAAATTGTAAATGTTTATTTGACAGAGTATACGAGGGTGGATCAAAAAGTAAACGATATATCTTAGGTATTTGATAGTTACTGTAAAAGTAACATTATATATTATTATTACTATTATATTATATTATATTATATTATATTATATTATTATATTGTTACTGTAAAAGTAACATTATATATTAGTATTGTATATTACATTTGGCTGTGTATTCTTTTTATCGCCTTTCGCGGAAAGCAGCCTCCGCTAAATCAAGTACATCGCTAAATGCTTTGTGTATAAAGGTTTATGTAACGCACATTCAAAAAGTGCTACATGTAAATTAAATCTACGCCAACTTGTTGATAATTCAATTTTCCGCCAAATATCGTACACGCCAAATATAATACATTTACAGTATATCATTGTTGAAATATTCAAGTATTTTTCAAAGTGTAAATTAGAGGTCTTTGATTTTCAAAGTGTAAATTGGAGGTCTTTGATAGGATATTGCTTAATTAAAAACACATATCCCTTTTCAAACTTGCTAATATATCACTGGGCAATATAACAAGTATCATATTTAA